AAAAAAAAAAAAAAAAGACTTGGAGTTCTGACTGATGAACAGATGCTCAAGAGTCCTCCTAATTTTGACCCCACCATTCATTCTTGAGCCTTTCAGAAAGGCCCTGGGGTTATTTCTTGTCGTTTCTCAGCCACACTGCCAGCTTAGGATTCAGCTCTTTCAAGTTGGTTAAGTTGGTTACCTCTTCCTTCTACATTCCAGCTTCCAGATCTTGTTGCTATTTCTTCTATTCTTTGTAGTTATTGCCTCCTTTAATCCCATTATCATTTCACTAGAGTTTCCATGGGGATTAGAAATAAATGTATATTCAATCCATCATCTTTAACTAGAAGCCTGTAAAAATGTAAAATGTTTGATAAATGTTTTATATAATTCAGACTTTTTACAATATATTCTGTACATTTATTCCCATTCCCTTAAGCTTAAAGCACATTAGACTTTGTGAAAACGTACAAATAGCTTTGCTTTTGTGCTCTATTGTCAGTTTACATCTATTATTTATTTGATACAGAATCCCAGATCAGAAAGACAAAGCTCCAAATATAATATTCCTATGAGAAATTACAGTTCATTTATGGTATTCTACTTCATGGCATGGCTTAGATACTTTGAAAAAGGAAGTCTATCTCAGATAATTTTACCAGAAAAGTAGTTTTTAATATTTTACCAGAAAAGTACTTTTAATAATAATGGCTTTTTTCTAATGTTTTGTTTTTTGTTATGTTTAATATTGTATTTTATGTTATGTTTAATGTTATGTTTTTTAAGTTATTAATAAAAGAAGAAAGAAAGGAAAAGCTAGGGGGAATTATCCAAAATGCTAACTAAAGGCTGTATTTGGGTGATTGGATTATGGGTGATTTCTCCTTTTAAGTTTGGCTATTGTTCAATTTTTCTGTAATGTGATATGACTTTTATGATAAAAACAAAAATTCAGTTAAGACAACACTAAAAAAAGTATGCTGCATTTTTATATAACTAACTTTACATCTTTGGGCCAGAATCTTTATGTGGGGACACATCTTCAGTGGGATCATATAAGTCAATAAGAAAATTAACTGATTTAGAGAAATGTCACTACGGACAGCTTTCCGTATGCGCATTTCTTCGTTAAAGTCAAGCATGCCAGCATTTAACCAACATTTTCTTTGTTCCTTTGTTTTTCACATAAAGCTATAAATCTGAAACTTTAAATGTTATTTATAGTCAAATAAGAGATTTTTAAAAAGGAAACATTTTCTATTATAAAAAGAGGCTCATTTGATGTTAAGCAAAGTTCCTTAGATCATTTTCTCCATGAATGTTTTTAATACTGTTTATGAATTTTCTTTCTTCCAGCCAATACAAGAGTTACGGGAAGTTGTTCTTAATATTTTGCAAGACCCAAACAGAACGACAGAAGGTACTATTATTTTTGTATTTAAATTTACTCCCTCCAGCTGCTCAAGTAAAAGTCGTGGAGGAACACATAGGAGAGAAAAGAAAAGAATTTTAAGTCCCCTGAAATCCCTCTCACTTCTTGGTTTCCATAGCCTAGTTTTTTCAGCCATCATCATCAGCTGAATTATTTCTATTATTATAAGTAAATATACTGCTCAACACCAAACATAGGTTGTTTTCACAAGAGTGGCCTAGAGTAGGGTGTCTTGCTTCCCTGGAGTGCTAGGTGGGATAAGACAAGTAGCTCTTTCTCAGACAAGACTGAGACAGAAGGGAGAGATGCCTCTGTGTTATAACAACCCACCAGCACTCACACATCCAAATTCACATTATAGCCTTTAAAAACAGAGGCTCCTGGGTGGCTCAGTCAGTTAAGCATCTGCCTTTGGCTCGGGCCATGATCTCATGGTCCTGGGATCAAGCCCCACATCGGGCTCCCTGTGGGGAGCCTGCTTCTCCCTCTGCCTCTGCTGCTCCCCCTACTTGTGTTCTCTCTCTCTCTCTCAAATAAATAAATAAAATCTTAAAAAAAAAAAACAGCTGGAGCAGGAAAACCTTTTCACTTAGCTAACCATTGCTGCCATTGGTCAGAACCTTTAGAAAACTCTTCTTTGAAAAATACTGTGCCAAATACAGTGAGTGGCCCACTATAATTGCTTATATTTGTTATATGAATGGAAAGAAAAAACAAGCTACTTTGAGAAAATAAAATAGATTATTTTTCTGATCTTAGAAGGTGACAGATGTTCTTCCTTTAAGACAGGTTGAACTTTGGGAAACAATCAAGTCATGTGGAATGATAGCTAACTAACCTATTACCTTTGGGAATAAGGTCACAGAGTAGATATACTCAGTGGTACTCTTATACTGGGAATGATGCTACTATTCAGATATTTGTTTATAATTCATGGCATTATTCTTCAGAGGGATAAGAAAAAAGACAGGAATCTATGCCTTTCCCACTTCTTGGCCCCCATTGACCTCTTTTAGGGTCTTAGCCTCCAGCCACAATATCTGCCTATCTCAGTCTAATTTCCTTCCCTTCCTTTTGGTTGCTGTGATTGAGCTATCATGTATATTATGTTAACACAAGACATTTTCTCGCCCACTGCCCAAGGTAATAGCCATGTGGTCATCCCTGGGTAGGAAGGGATTGGAAGGTTAAGTGAGTTAACCCTAGTGAGTCAAGGAAATTGACCCAAGGTATGGTATAAGGGTAAAAGAACAATGACTAGTCCGTAAGGGAACCTCTCTCAAGAGCGAATAAGAGGTGGGGATGTGTTCAGAATGTTTAAAAGCTATCAAGGATCCATCTCAAGGGGCAAGAAGGCCCAAAGGCTTTCTGGAGGGCTGGTGAGAAGGATGGCCTGATGTAGCAGGGCATTGCTAGAAGGCTGGGCAGGAAAAACTATACCTCTCACTTCAAATCAGTTACTCTTTTTTAAATTGGGAAATCATTGTGTATATTGATTTTTCATTTTATTGACTTTTAGTTTTAGTATTAAGTTGCTAAACCTTACTTTCCTTCTTGACCTTTCATACACAGGAGTTACCTCTGACTCTTCAGTTGCTGAGACAAATATAACAGCAACAGAAAAACTGGCCAATAAGACGGAATCTGAAAAGTCTTGTCTTTCTCTGAAAGAGGGAGAACAGGTTATAGCAACACCCCAAATAACCAAGGCAGAACAGGATAATCATCCTGGTATCAAATTACAGATTGCCCCAATCCCTAGGTAAGCAAACTCTAAAGTAAGCTTTGTGTGTACGGGTCTAACTCAAGCCCTGTTCTCAGTTTCACTTCCACAGATTCAGAGTGCCAGCAGTTTGTGGACACCCCTGCGTCATGTGAGGACCAGATGGTCTAATCCATCTTTGGCATTAAGGAAGGGAGCTGAGGGTGAGGGGAGGGTTGGAACCATTGACAGGAAGATCTGTGCCCTTTCTGTGCACACACACCATCGCCCTCACAGCACTCCAAGGAGACCTGACCCCCCATGAGGAAGGTGGTGCTGGAGTTTGGAGACAGGTCGGAATGGGTTTCCCCTCCCTCCTGGATTTGGTCCTGCACTTACAGATCCCACCCGCCTTTCCTCCCAGGCCCTGAGGCAGGGACACAGAGTGCCAAGCAGGGGCAACCTCTGTAGCTGTAGGAGGGAAGGGACAGCGAATAACCCTATAAGAACAGGCTTCTCTTAATGAGCTATCTCGTATGTACAAGATAGAAGCTGCTCATTTTATTGAAAGTGTTTGGTGTTTGAATAAGTATAAGTTTAAGGCAGAATTCATAGGAACTTGTCAGGTATCAGTGCCATTTCCCAAAACATTAATATAACATCCGTCTCTGTTCATGATCTTAAAAGAGAATTCCAAACAAAAGCACCACGACCACACAGTTCTATATTTTCGTTCCCTGTAAAGCACAGCTGGGCCTCTTTCAGTCCTAAACCCCTCTCTCAGTCCTGGCTTTACAGCCAACTCATGGAAGGATGAAGGCCAGCAGGTGATCTGAAAACCACCTCTTTCTGGCTCTGGAATTTATTATGAGAGTTTTTAGCAGACTGGCCTGCTAGTTTTGCTTAGGCTAATGTAATCAGTGGGTTTGTGAGATGTAGACCAGATTCACTACATGGAAAGTTCTCTGCAAACTATCCTCAGGGCTACTTTTTATTGGAACACATTAAAGTTTACAAGGAAGATGCCCAGTTTGTTCCAGTTTCCATTTGTGGTTTGGTCCACCATCTTAAAAGATGTTTTTTTGATAATATTCTGTCAAAGCTAGAATCTTAGAATTCATTTGTCCAACCCCATTTGGTGTTAGGCCCAATTTCCTTAAAACCTATCAACTCTTTGAAAGTTTATGGAATAAACAAACACCAACTGCCAAGTATCAAATAAAAACCACATTTAACACTTCATTCAAAAAATCCCTGTGCTTATACCATAAGAGAGCAGATGGACACCACCCAGTTCATTCTGACAATCAAGGAAAAGCCATCTTAGGACAAGAGCTGCTCTACACATACCCTTACGTCAACTTCCATTGAAGTGTCTACCGTGTTTTATTAGGACAGAAGTAAAAAATTCAGAATAATAAGAATTTCAAAAGAAGTTATAAGATTCTGCATGCATCTTTCTGTCTCACAGAATAAGTGGAATGCCAGAAGTACAAGACATGAAGCTCATCACCCCTGTGCGGCGTTCAGCAAGGATTGAGCGAGCTGTGTCCCGCTACCCAGAAATGCTGCAGGGACACGATTTAGTAGTGGCTTCTCTTAACGAGCTGTTAGAAGTGGAAGAAACAGAGTGTTTTATATTCCGTAAAAATGAGGCTTTGCCTGTAACATTAGGGTTTAAAATCCTCGAGTCATAATTTCTTAATCCCTTTTTTTTCAAAAGTGTTTCAGAGCCTCCACGAAACAAGAAATACCTTTGTCCAGGTGACCTGGACAAAACTATATAATGGGCAGGCAGACTGTGGGCTCTCAGGATTGAGTAATTCACTGGGCTTACTCTCAAATTTAATATGCCCACGGGACTGTCTTTGGTTTATTTAAGACTATAGTTTGCCACAGTTCTATAGTACATAAATTTTAAACTATTGAATATTCATTTACCACACAAGTATGGTAAAAATTTTCACTTTATTGACCTAATTTACTCTCAGTGTAGTTCTTTTTTACATCAGGAGGCTGGTGCCACAGGATGATACTTTCCTTCCTGCATCCGCCTTAGCAGAGAGGGCGAGTCCTCCCTTCCCCGGACGAGTGGAGCTCAGAAGCTAGCCTTCCGGACCAGCTGCCATGTGACAGCCTGTCTGATCAAATCCCTCATTTTATGGAGCTGATGCTAGCCATGCTTTTGCTCAGAGATCCCAGATGACTTTTATGTGCAACTCTGATTTCTGTCACAGTGTCCCTATAGATGAGGGGGCAATTCCTATCCTGTCTGTGCCAGGGCTTCTCCAATGAAATACAGTTCTGAACTAGCTTTTATATCCAAATCTAATTGTGCATTTGTGCTTTTGTTATTCAGAATGCTTCAAAGAAAAACAAAAGGGAGCAGGGGAGAGGGGAGGGGAGGGTCACTTGCTTCTTCACTTCAATTCTTTGCTACAGGACACCTGGCCTGAGAAGACAGTACAAGCCCCAGAGACTATTATAGGTTGCCTTTCCTTCCTCCTGGGCAACTGTTCTTGGAAAGGTAAAATTAGAATCATTATGTAAATATAATGTATAGAAAAACGTAGCCAACATATTGTGCATTTGATTGCATATTGTGAATTTTTAAATTTTAGCTTTAATATTTAAGTATTATCTAAAACAAAAAAAATAAATTTTGTTCATTCCTGCTTATTCATTTATTTTTATTTATCATTATTATTTTTTTTAAGATTGTATTTATTTGACAGTGAGAGAGGGAACACAAGTGGGGCGGGGAGAGAGAGGGAGAAGCGGACTCCCCGCTGAGCAGGGAGCCCAATGCGGGGCTCAATCCCAGGACTCTGGGATCACGACCCGAGCCGAAGGCAGATGCCTAACGACCAAGCCACCCAGGTGCCCCTATTTTATTTATTATTAAAAAAAAAACAGTGATGATGGCTTGGCCTGGAGAATTAGGGGTTTGTCCAGGGAAACACTGTTAGGCATTCTGAAGAGGCCTCATAGGGAACATTCATTACCATGGAGAACTCACGTTGATCAAGGGTCTGACCATGATCCTCACCCAAAAACTAGATTTTATCACAATGAGGGAAGCACCATCTCTCTAGGTCAGGTTTATAATGACAAGGTTCATAAAACTGAGCTATAAAACCATAAAGTTAATATACTAATTTTCAGTAAGAATAGACGGTCACCATGACCAAAATGCAGGAATCCACACAGCCAGCTCTTTCCTTCCCTTTGGACAGACTCTCTTTACCTGCGATGCCAAACAATGCCCAGGGATTTGCTGAGAGATCATAAAATCTGAAAGCCAGTTTCTGTCGGTTGCTAGGGGAAAAGTCCTACACACACAAACAATAGTGCAGGACACTGTTATTTAGTGCTTCCTCTGGCTGTGTCTGCATCTTATCTCACTACATCTTCACAATAGCCTTCTGACCTAGGTATGGAGACGCTAGTTAGACGGTCAACGATAGGGCTGAAATCTCAGACTCAGGGTTGTCTGGCGCCAAGTCCAGAGCTTTCAATCCCCACCTCTACTCCATGTAAGGAAATGCGGAGTAGGAAGGTGATAAGGAAGAACTTCTTGAACTATTCCCATTTACCAAACAGGAATTGCTGTGAGAGCCAGAGTGCTGTCATTTATTCTACAAATGAGGTGACTTGATCACAGTTTTTACCACCAGGCCACTAACCCATGGATGATGCTTCTATTCCCTTCCTTTCTGACTGCTCAGGGCTGGATGCCAGAATTAGGGTATCGATTCAGCTGCTGTAACTAGTCCCAAAGGGAAACGGGTCTCTCTTACATCAGCAGTTCAAGTGAAACTGTCCAGTGTTTGGTGCCAGGCCCAGGCCACGTCTGTCCTGTGGTTCTACTATCCCCGGGGTACAGCCTCGTCCACATGGCCAGGGATGCCTCCCAACCAATGTCACATTCCAGCCACAGGGATCCGGGAAGATAGGAGGTAGAAGACATGCCCCTCTCCTTTTAAGGTTACAGCTTGGTCATTGGACATATTATTTCTGCTTAGGATTGCGGGGCCACTGGGCACATGCACTTATCTTCAAAGAAGCCTGGGAAATGTATTTTGGGTGGCCACATGCCCAACTAAAAATTCTTCCAGAAATGGACTATCAGTATCTACTACAGTCTTGGGAATAATGAAGTTCATTTCCAACTAAAGTATAGGTAAATGAGTACAGAGGTTGAACAGCCCCCTGACAGAAGTATTTTCCACCTTACCATGCCCCAGCTGACTTCCTACAAGCTTAGCAGAGTTCTAATCCAAAGTTTTCTAGTCTTTCCCCCACATCCTCTTATCTTACAATCTACCTTTGCCCCCCCCTTTCCCCAGCAATGTAATAATAAGCCAGGTGACATAGTTCACTCAGTAAAACAGGACACCGTAGATGCCAGAGATGCAGCGATGAGCTGTGTGACCTGGCCCCATGAGGCCAAGAGTCTAGGGGGGACACAAATGTGTGAAAATGCAATAATCCCCAGAAAGAGAGGTCCCTAGGATGGGATGAACAGAAGGATCGGATCCAGTCAGGGAGGTGGAGGCCCCTCGAGTCTGAGGCAAGAGCAGGTTTAACAGGAGAAGAGGGAGGGGATGCTTAAGGCAGAAGGAAAAAGCATGCCACCGCATCCCCCTCCCCCTCCCTCACTCTTCCTCAGACCTGAAGAGTTCTTCTGGTGGCTATTCATCCCCCAGCCCTCTCTGCATTCTCACTACCCTAGCAGGGAATTCTAACGGTTGATTTCTGTAGTATTAGCTACTGCACCATATTTCAGCATCTTTCCAGAAAAGCATGGGCCCTAGGGTCTGAGCAATTTTCCTGATAAAATTCTACCCTCTAGCCCTTGAACAAGAATGTAGTGTTTGAAGACACAAGGCCAGGGATACCTGGTCTCTGCCTGGAGAAGCTGCTTTACAGACTCAGGCCCAAAAGTCAACCCAGGAAGAAGAGCGAACGGTATTAGCAGCACCAGACCTGCAAGGTTCTGAAACTCTTTCAGTACATGGCCCGTTGCCCCTTATTTATCCTCAGATATTCCAAATGTTTCCCTTGATTATCCACAGAAAGCGAAACTAGCAAACTCTTTCACAGACCTGTTGCTTCGAGAGTTGGTTTTGTCATTTCAGTTATGTAGGTATATTCATTCTAAGCCTCTAGATAATACCAGATGATGCTACCAACAGACAAAACAGGAGCCAGAGAAGTGAATTCAAATCAGTGACCTCAGAACAATGAAGGGCACGGGCTTAGTGCCACAGAGCAGCTCCTGCCAAAATAAAGTACCAAGTCTTTAAGTCATGAGTATGACTTTGTATATGTTTTTTAATGCACGTATACACCAAGCTCAAAGATGTTTGGGCTATCTCATTTACTGTCTTTCACAGTGACCTGGAAAGAACAGTCAATGAAGTCATCTATGGCCAATCGAGTATTATTGTTATTACTAGTAACAGAATCAAAATGCACAAAAATACTATTTTTAAGAAATGTGTAGAAATAAAACTGGATATGAATGGTGATATAGCTCAGGGGAACTGGGTAAAATAATTCCACTTGTTACACCCATTTTTAAATGGTTCAAAGGCCACAGGGGGTGTCTTCTAGGATGATGACAATACTCCCTCCTCCCTAAAAGACATGTTCTTGGGCTCCAAGTCTGTTACATTTAGATTTCAATATGATTGCTTTTTCTCTCTTCCATACTTTTCCATTTATCTGAAAACTATCTCAGGTAGAAGACAACCATGATGTCAGCCCATGTCCAGGGTTCAGTCAACCTCAGTGCAGCCTTCCTGGTCCTCATCCCTCTCTTTGCCCTCAGCCTTTTAAGAAACAAAGAAAGTTAGTTATGGAATCCGTCCTCCTGAGCTCACACAATGGCTCCCACCCCAGGGTAGAGAATGTGCCAGAATGCCCTGGTCTGGTCTGGGATGGAGATGAGGGGTAGAGAAATCAAACCACACACATCCCGAGGACCCAGAGTTCCTGATAGGAATGTGTCCAGCCCTCTGGTGGGTTGAGATGGAAACATAGTTGCAGACCACCGATAAAAGATTGTTAATGGGCTTGAATTGTGAGCTTCTGCCAGGCAGGAGTAAAGTAGCTTACCATTCAGTTTCTAAATTACCTGGCATGCAGGAGGCACTCAGTAAACACTGGTTGAAAAAATGCACACCGAGCCTGGCACCACCCAGCAAAAGGAAGCCTAGGAGATGAACATTTTAAAAATCAAGCCCCAGGAAGCCTCATGCAGGGTTCCGGGATGCAGAACCAGGCTAGGAGCCAAGTCTGCCACTCATGAAAGCTGGAGTGTCCACTCACGGGGGACCACACAGCACAAAGTGACAAAGGAGCTGAAGCAGAGCCCCTACTCATTGTGTTTATAAAGGCTGTCTAGAGAGGAATCCTAGCTTGGAAGAGCACGTGTTCTGCAGCTTCTTCCAGAGTGGGAATGGATTTGTCAGATGAATCAGCCAAAAGTGATCTGGAGAGGTGGAAGGCACCAGCTAGCCTCTGCTGAACAAAACCTGTGAATCTGGGCTTAGAGCCGGGGCTTCCCGGCTCTAGGAGACCCAATGCCCCATTTTAAAAACAAATATTTTAATTTCCTCTTTTCTCTCCTGAATTGAAATTCATAGATAATATAGTTATTCTCTCTATAATTTTAAAAATCAATGTAATACTATAATATAGGAGAAATACAAAGAAAAGCAATTTGTGATAAAATTTCGACATAAATACTCAGGGATGATTACACTTGCAAACAAGATGCCTCCTCGGTTGAATACCGTTCCATTGGGAACCCCTACTCTAGCCCAGGGTAGCCCCAGGTGGCTGAGCTCCCCCGGCACAAAGCAGCTGGCTCCTCCCAGCTCTACTGTGGATGGAAGCAACCCACCACCTCCTAGCAACTCACCCTCTGGCTGTAGAAGCGGGGGCAGGAGAAGGGATCGAGTTTGGCTCATTCTTGCTCCACAACTGACTCATGGGGCATCTGCAGAGACACATGCAGGTGGAGATGGAGCAGCTCCTTCAGTGTCGAGGCTTTCTGGAAGCCCTTGATTATGCATAGACAACAACACCCCGCCACCACCACCACTTCACCCTACCCACAGCTGCCGTCTTCTTGTCCAATGATGCTGCAGAAGAGGAAGCCCAGGAGGGTCAGCCAGAGAAGGAAGGTTCTGGCAAATGGACATCACTTTCTCAAAAATCCCAGGCCAGCATGGTTGGGTAAAGCTCAGGTTTCTTCACATGTTTCACTTTGGTGCTCAGGTTGCTTTTTCTTCACCTGTCTGGTCACTACTTTAGCAACAATGTCTAACTAGGCTTCGGACCCCCCAGTTTTGCCAACAGGAATTCTCCAGCCCTGCTCATCTAAAAACCTAGCCATGAGAGGAGGCTGCACGCTGAGAGCTCACTTCCCCGCTTGCCAGTGTGTGGCAGTGTGGTGCAGGGGACAGAGCATGTCCCCAGTTCTTCAAGAGCACTGGGTTCCAATCCTGACTCTGCAGTCTACTAGCAGTGACAGCAAGGTACTTAGGTTCTCTGCACTTCCATTTCGCCAATGGTACGATGAAGATTTAAAAAAAAAAAACACTCTGGTGGGTTATACTGAGCATTAAGCAAAATTACTTAAAAACAAAATAAATAAAAGGCACCTAGCCAATGCAGGAAACCCAGGAGACACTCAGAAAATGGTTTTTGCCTCTCAAGCATCTGGAAGGCAGCTGAGAGTGGCAAGAAAAGCAGGAAGCAAGGAGCCCCGGAGAATCCTTTCAAGTCCAGATCCTTGACATGAGACTCCATGTTACAAGATGAAAATACTGACACTTCATTGGGAGAGCTGACACGCGTGCTCAGGGACGCGCTGCAGTGACGGCTCCTGCTAACCCAGTGACATCATCACCCCCTCCACCTCCCTGCCCTTGACCCAGGAGCGGGTGCAGGTGTTCAGAGGAAAGCCAGCTGAGGCATTTACTGTATCATCTGCTGCTTCATCCATTTCTTCTGAAGTCACTATGTTAACCGAGGGGAAAGGGACTGCAGCCTTCCTCCTAGCATCTGATATCTTCTCTACTAAGGAAATACTGAGTTAAGGTGGTCTCAGTTTAAAGCAGGTGTGAAGGCTGGGCAGGAAGAAAACTTCCCAGCTGCAGCATCTTATCTCTAGCACTTCAACTCCTCTTAGGTCGCCCACAGTTCCCTGCAAGGCTTGGACCACTTGCACCTGGAGGTGGGAGACTGGGTCTGGTGACCTCGAAAGCTCTTGGTGGGGCTGGGGACCAGAGGGTCCTTCTGGGGCAGAGGGTGAGGGATGCCAGGGAGGCTCTGCAGGGACTCACCAGCTCCAGGGCCGCCCGATGTGGCAAGCCTAGCGGGTAGCGCAGGAAGCTGAGGCAGGCGGCAGTGTAGAGGTCTGCGTAGCCCATCAGCTGGCTGGAGGAGAGCGTCTGGCGGAAGCTGCAGCGGAACAGGCTGCCCATCATGCTGTAGCACGGGTCCAGCTCCCGGGTGACTCTCTGGCAGAGGAGAGATCCCATCCCACCTGGACCTGCATCACCCACAGCCAATCCTACACTGCTGGGGCCAGGCCCCGCTCTGCCCTCCCTAGGTCTATCACCCCAGGAACTTGGGGCCTTTGCCCCTGGTAGGGAAGGAGCTGTGTTCTTTAAACCCAGAAGTGGCGCCGGGTGCTTTGGGAGGTGAGGCAGCTCTGCATTTTGCCCCGGGCCCCCCTTCCCTGCTTTCCTCACAGTTACCTGCCTGGACCTGGAGAGTGACCACCCAGACCAAACCCTCAGCTTAATGTAGCTTCTGACGCTCCGACAGAGAGCCTGTGCAGAGGCCCACGCACCCGACCCCACGCCTGCCCCCTTCACAGGCCCCCACCTCATCACCAGGCCTTGCTTTCAGCGTCTAGAGAACTGGTCCGGACATTTACACCCAGAGTGACCAAAAGCATGCTATTTCCCCTCCCTGAGCCTCCATTTTCTCATCTGTAAAATAAAGGTAACTGTCGCTGCCCAGCCCACTTCTCAGGGTTATGGAGGATCAAATAGCATGCAAGGGCTTTATACCCTGCAAAGGCTCTGCAGAGATCCTTCATTATTGGGCCCAGCTGGCTCTGTGCATGCCAAATGGCCTGAATCCCGCTGACACGGCCTCCAGGATTCTCCCAGCTTTGGGGGCTGGTCAGAGGTGCCACGGGGCGTTTTCCTTCCTCCTTTTCCGAGGACCCATCAGCTCATTGGCCCTAAATCCCTCTTCTGGGGCGGCTCATCTAGCTTCCCCCAGACGCTGATCACAGCTGGCTAGTCAGTCACATGACCCAACCCGACAAGCCCGCACATCTCAAGAAGGGTTAATGGAGATTGAGAGACACGCCACAAATCACCCCACAGGCTAAACTCAGCCCTTCTGCGGCAGTGCTCTGCTGTCATTTGGAACATGGGCCAGCAGAGGGCGCCGGCAGACAAGGACAGGTGGCTCTGCAGAGGTTGGGGAAAATCACATCACTAGGCTCAGGAACCTGGGACGGAAGCAGATGGGGCAGGCAGCCTGGAGGCCCACACCCCACCCCCAACCCCCGCTGGTGAGGGTCTCCTCCTCGCTCAGCACTCACTCTTACCTGAATCTCCCTCTTGGTGGAGTTGATGACTTGCAGCCCATAACTGCTCCCATCCATGTGCCTGGTGCAAAAATGGCCACATGACCCAGGAGAAGATGAACAGGGCCTGCAAGCTCCGGGCACAACCTCCCTAGGCCCCATGGGGGTCAGAGGGCACTCCACGGGCACCCAGGGAGGGTGCTGGGCTGGGTGTGTGCACATGTGTGTGAGAGGACAGGCCTCCTGAGTCCATGCTGAGTGGGCAAGGAGGAAGGACCTAGAGGTCACAGTGTGACCCAAGGGAGTCAGAGGGATCCCAAAACCCAGTTTACTAGGGAAGGCCAGCCTGGAAGAGATCTTGATTTCCTGACTACTGACCAGGACCCTCCATCCCTCTCCCCGCTGTGGGCAGGGCTCTCACTGGTACAGTTCTGCCAGGCGCACATCCAGCCTCTTCAGCTCCTCCATCCGCTCTGAAAAGTCAACAGGAGACAGTGTGGGGTGAGTGACAGCCCCACCTTCCTTTGTCTGCCCCAGGCCTAACTCAGCCATGTGGTGAGGCTAGAGGTCACCAGGGGTCTACACACCCCAAGCTGTGTGCATAACATCCTTCACCCCTTCCTTACATCAAGTGAAGCTCCACCCAGAGCAGAGCAGTTACAGCAAAGGTCTTGTGGGACAGGTGAGGAAGCCGGTCAGGGAGTCAGGTGACCCACCCATGGTCACATGGTAATGACTCAAACCCAGCTCTTAGAACAAACCTGAATTGTTTGGGCTCAAAGCCACTCCTGACCCCAAGGATACAAGTCATTCCCAGGTGGGGGAGTGGACCTTCCATTCTCTAAGAGTCCTCAGGTGAATAAGGAGGGTAGAGTCAGGTGAGGAAGGAGGCCTCAGACTACAGAAACACCACAGTACTCTGGAGTCAGCAGATAGGAATTTGAGTCGGCCTTGCCCTTTCTGGCTGTGTGACTTTGGGCAAGCTGCTTAACCTCTCTGGATCTCTGTTTCCTCATGGATAAAGTAGTTCCGCTCTCGTAAACCACAGAGGGGACAGTATTATTATGGTCACTACTAACCCCCAACAGGAAAGAGGGCAAGATGGTGAAGGGGCAGGCCTCTGCACTAGTGGCCAGCGCCCCCCTTCCTGGCCCTGACCCCTCCACAGCTCACCCTTCTCTTGGGCCCTTGATGCCCAGCTCCCGGGACAACTCAGGAACCACCAGGCAAGTCCGCCAGCACTGCCGCTTCTTAGACTTGAGGATGTCCCCAAAGATGTGGTCCTCGATGTACAGGACATCCTTCCCCTACACCCTGAGCAGCTCGCACACCACATCTGAAGAGCCTGCCCCCCGCGGGAGGACAGGCTTGCTCACAGCCCCTCCTGCCTGGTCGGCAGATTGGGGCCATGGGCTCCTAGTCGAGGTAGGGTGCCTGTGGAGGCAGGGGGGCGAGGTGGGAGCTGGTACCTCCAGAGTAAACCACACAGGGGTGGTGGGGCCCCGTGTAGGTGCCCACGGGGAGCTTGCCCGAGTCCTGGAGGGGCAGAGGGGCACTCTGGTCAGAGAAAGCAGGGGGCTGGGAGCGGCAGGGGTAGCCATGGGGCCGTGGGAGGACGGAGGTGAGAGCGAGCCCTGAAGGAGGCCCCTGGGTCCCTGTCTCCAGGGACAGACAGAGCAGCAGAGAGGAAGCTGCCAAGGGCAGGTCCAGCCTCAGGGGTGGGCTCCCTGACAACGTGGCCCTCCTGGTCAGGGTGGATGGGGCCTCAGCCCCCACCATTACCGTGTTGACCTGTCTCAGCACCATTCCCTCAACAAAGAAGCGGGGCTTCTGTGTGTCTACCACAATCAGGTCGAAGTAGGACCTCCAGGGCCTGTCGGAGGCCTCAGTCTGTGGGCAGGCGTGGGACAGCATGTGCAGACACACACACGCAGTCTGGGACATCTGACCCTGACACATGGCCCAGCTCCTCCCTGGTCCCCCACCCCCTGGCCTGCCTTGCTTGGCGGGAGCACCAGCCCAGGTTCAGCCACGCTCTACACCGTGAAAGCTTGCCAGGGCTCAAGTCACAAGCCAGCCACGCGCCCTGGTCCTGACTCCCAGCCCTGCGGCGCCTCTGGCTCCCCAGCATCCTTGGCCGTGACCATCCTAGCACAAGGAAGTGCTCAAAAGGTATGTGTGGAGGCAGGTGTTGGATACTGGGTGGGCTCTCTCGTCAGCCTCCAGAGCTCCTCAGAGCGCTCGGGCAGAGACCCAGGGACAGAGGATCTGAGCGCGGTGGCTGAGTTCGAGCCCTGCTCACCCATTTGCCTGCCAGTGACTCCTGGTCGCACGCGATGCCACAGGGTGGGTCACACACTCCCCTTCCCTGGGTCTGCCACAGACTGACCCCACCCCCTTGCACCTCACTGAGCCCCTCCCCAAACATCTGATTGCCTCTTCATGGCCTCCTCCAAGGCTCTAAGTGGCCTCCCCCCGCCCCCCGGCCAAGGGCCTCCCTTGGCCTGGCTGAGGTCACTGACCTCCCACCCCCTGCTCTCTCTGACCACCTCCAGCGAGGCCCATGCATGGGAAAAGCCCCCTCCAACACTTAGTTCCTCCTCAAGGGGAGGGCCGGACATGGGAGAGGCCCTCAGCACTGTGGCCTGGCCTGGCCCTCCTGCCTTTGGCACAGCCCACCCCAGCCAGGCACGTGGCACTCACCTCACCAATGCCAAACAGGTAGGTCATGATGGCCTGGCAAAGACAGGGCAAGGGTCAGGGCACCCAGCTGGGCTGGGCCAGGGGCCCCTGCCTGCCTCCTCCCTCACCCCACCTCACAGGACACACTGGGGACCACAGGAGCTATGTGGTGAGAAATTGCTCACTCCACTGAGACCTTAAAACGCCAAGAAATGGAACCCAAAATGCCAACCAGACAGGGAGGGTAGCAGGGTCTTGGCTCCTCCTGACCCCTCACTGTTTATACGGTTTCCTCCAGCAACCAGAAAGGAGTCAGTTCTCTGGGCTCTGATGGCCGAGGCCCCCCCCCGCCGCATCCACACACTCACATCCGTGTAGTTGTAGCTGCTGTTGGCGGCCAGAAACACTCTCCCAACCTCCTTCATCTTGCCCAGCAGGATGGGGATTCGCACCTGGAACAGAGGTAGACATCACTTCCAGGGGCGGGGCCTCCCCCAACTGCCCTGGGATCCCTTTCTCGGCTCTCGGCCTCCCGGGCACGGGGCTCCAGGCCAGGCAGGAAAGTCTGTGAGCAAGGCTAGGCTACAGAGCTCTGTCCACATCTTGAGGAGGGAGGCAGGGACATAGCCCCACTGCCCTGGGGGGAGGGGGACAAAGGGACAGGCCTGGTCACGACCCACTCACATCCTTCTCCACGTATTTGTACAAGTCCTCCAGGGTCTTCTCCTTCAGATAGCCCTGCAGGCGGGAGCAGAACTGTGTGTGTGTGTGTGTGTGTGCGCGCGCGACCAACCTGCCCGCATGTCTGGGTCCAAGATGCAGGGAGCCCAGACCACAGTCCTCAGCGGGCAGAGGAGTGGAAACTCTCTGGGGGCTGGAGCCGTCAGGGCTGGCCCAGCAGAGCCGAGGGCAGGCAGGTCAGGGGTCCTGGGGTCCCAGCCCTCACCGACTGGTGGACATTATCCATGGCATCATTCACGTCTGGGAAGAGGCTTCAGAAGGACATGAAGACATTCCCATGCTGATAGCCAGTGTCACAGCTGGGGCAGGCCGAGAGGACAGAGAAGCCAATAAGGGGGCCTGAGGTGACCACCAAACCTGGACACTATATCAGAGTCACCCCTCGAACCACACACTGAGTTTATGTCCCAGCTATGCTGGAAGGGGCGTCACCCTGTGCTGTGGGTCATCCCTTGGGGGGGCACCAGTTACAAGGTCGGGGGGGCCCCCCTGCAGTGAAAGCCTTCCCAGGTGAGCAGACCGTAGTTCAGGGCTTGGGCCCTGGGCAGCGGCAATGTCCTGTTGGTCACCCAAGGCTGGACAGGGCATGGGACGCACTTGGTGTCACGGGAGCGGCCTGAGAAGGAGTCCACCAGGGAAGCATACAGGTAGGTTTCTCAGGGGGAGAGGCCAGTCAGGTCGCTGGCCCAGGGACCCAGGCAGCAGCCCACCCAGGCCAGAGCGGGGCGCCCCGAGGACCACCTCCCCACACCTGCTATCCAGCCCTCACCAGGCAGATTGAAGAGTGTGTTGAGGATGTGGAACCTCTGCAGGTCGTCCCTCTGAATGAACTTGCTGGGGTGGAAGCTCCAGATCTCTGCCCTGGGGAGGGAGTGGTCTGGGTGCAGGCAATGTGCCCTCCCTAGCGCCTCCTGGAGGCCCATCCAAGCCCTGCCATTCCTTCCCACCCATCTCCCCACCCCCACCCCTGCTCGCTCTCTCTTATCCAGCTGGCATTGTTGAGCCTCTGCTGTGTGCCTGAGTCTCTCCTCCCCCCACCTCCTCCTCTCCTCCAGCATCCTTGCCCTCCACCCCTTGTCCTTTACTCCGAGAGGAAGGTGAAGCCATGGGTGCCCAGCAGCACGTTCCCCTGGGTGTCCACCTTCAGCAGGTTCCCATAGAGCACGTCAAACACCAGCCCCCCGGGGAGAGAGTGCAGACGCTATGGGTGGGGGTGCCAGGGCTCACAACGGGCCACAGCCTCCCACCCCAGCCGGCTCCCGCACCTGGTGGGGAAGGAAGGGTCGTAGGTGTAACGCGGCATCTCGTGTGGGTACCCAATGCACACCAGGCACTCCAGCAGTAACTCAAAGGCCAGTGCCTCATACACTGGGGACTTGTAGGCTGCGGGAACCCAGCAGAACCAGCTGGTTGGTGCCTGCCCACTGCTCCCCTAGCCCCAGATACCCTGCCCCCTCCCTCCCTACCAGCCAGGGTGTAGTCCATGTCAAAGCCAAAGCAGCGAACCTTCCCCAGTACCAAGCTGAGGTTGACAAAACTCCTGGAGAGGCGGGGAGAAGACTGTTGGAATCAGCCCCCCAGCTCCCCAAGCCTCGTTGGGTCTCAGTGTGTCTGAGCACATGCGTGTGGGCATGTGTACGGGTGCGCAGGGAGCCTCAGAGAAGCGCCTCACCGTGCAGGAGTGTGCCCTGGGTGACCCTGGGAGGGAGGATGCCCGATTGTCAGCAGGGTGGTCACTTTCCTGAGGGGAGTCACTGTGTCCGAGTTCAGAGCTGATGTGTTTGTCACAAATAGGCAGTGCTTGTCCCCAGGCGGGAGGGAAGTGAAGGGCACTCCCTCCCTGCCTGAGTGTATATTGTCAGTGTTTCCATCTGACAGGCCACTGCCCACCTAGAGAGAAGGGTCCCCTTGCTAGCCAGGTGTGTGTCAGCGTTTTGAGTGTCACCCTATCTGTGCATTTAAAGGGGTCACTCTTGAGGCTGCTGTGTTGTGAGGAGTATGTCAGGAAGTGGGGTGTTTCCGGGCTGAGGTGCCCCCGACCCCCACCCCAAGTGCCCCCTCACTGCTTGGTGCCAGTCCTGCCCCAGGCCTTGAAAGGAGACCAAGCCTTGCGGCTCCCCTGGGGGGGGGGTCCCTTCACTCTCCCCTGTCCACCCTGGCCATTGCCACGAGGAGTGAGCAGGAGGCAGGAGGTCCTTCCCCAGCCACCTGCTCACTATCAGTGGGACCCAGCAGCTTCCTTATCCCTCAAACACTTTGGACACCACTGACCAGCTATGGGCTCCCATTCATCCATGTTAGTCTCTGGTATCCCCTCCCTTCTTCAGAAAAGAAAGCAGTTATGATCGGGAAGAACAATTCATGTCTATTGACATACTATGTCACCTCCGTTTCTAGGGCTTATGCCTCCAAGGAGTTCAACCACCTGGAACACTTCAACCCTGGATGAAGCAGAGAGGGGCTACAAGGCAGGAGACTCGTGTACTTCAAAAAATTAAGAGTCTTTAATAAATACACAAAGAACTCAGGGCTCTTCCTTTGTGCACAATTCTAACACACTTAGTTATCAATTCTCCCAGCCCAAGGCCACTTAAAGAAATAATTGCTCAGAAGCATGCCGAGAGCTCTAAGAAGTGGCAGGTGAGCAGAATCAGAATCAGCAAAAGCACAGAAATGAGTATCAGGAGCAGAGCAAACAGCATTTAGTGTCAAGCTGCAGAGAGCCCTGGGGGCCCACAACGCTGGTCTTACAACAAAGCACTATGGCGGCCATTTAGAGTTTTGACCTGGATCATCCGAAAAGACATATGATGTGCATGTCCTCTTTTAGCAAGGAAGACAAGTTTACGACGCACTTAAAAAAATTTTCTCTCTAAAATGACTAAACTAAATGCAATTAGGCACTCTTAAAGGGATAAAAATTATCTGGAAAAAAGGTATTTCAATGGAATAGTTCTTTTCCTTGGCAATGCCAGATGAACAACTATTAGAATGATGAAGCAAGAATATGGAGGCTCAGGAGCTAAATTCCCTCACTGGGTGGATCTGGATGGATGGATGGATGGATGGACGGACAGAGAGATGGACAGTGGGATGGATGGAAGTGTGGATGGATGGATGTTTGGATAAATGAGTGGGTGAGTGGGTGGGTGGATGGATGGATGGATGAACAGACAATTAGATTAGCAGATGAATGGACAGATGGATGGACCATAAATGACAGGCTTTATTGAGAGTGTCAGAGGAATATCAAACTTCAGAAATCAGGTGCATTTCCAGAGTCTCTTTTCACTCATTATCCTGTGCTTTCTGCTCATGTTGGGTCAACCTTTTAAAAAACGCCCTTTCTGGGGCACCTGGGTCGCTCAGTCAGTTGGGCATTCAGCTCTTGATTTCAGCTCAGGTCTTGATCAGGTCATGAGATCAAGCCCCGCATCAGGCCCTGCCTCAGGCTCCACACTGGGCATGGAGTCTGCTTGAGATTCCCACTCCCTCTCCCTCTGCACCTCCCCCTGCTCATGCTGTCTCCCTCTATCTCTGTAGATAAATAAATACAATCTTAAAAAAAAAATAAAAAATAACAAGCGCCCTTTCCCCTATTGCATGGTTCCTATGTAGTCAGACACAAAGACAGGGGTGGCGGGGAGGGATACCTGGTTATAGGAAATCACTGGGAAGTTCCTAGCCCTCCCACTGGGAGTTATCATGGCAAAACTTACTTTTCCTATAGCTGAACTTGGGGTTCCTTCCCAAGCTTCCCTTTCACGTGAGGACAGGAAGGCCATCCAGTGATGTTCATGTACACTCTGTCACTTCAGCCCTCTCTCGGGCCACTTCTCCAAGTGCACTCCCAGCCATCTCGTGGGGTTGATTGAACAATGTGGGGCTTATGCCTGGTCGTGCTGGTAGTTGGTAGCCATTGTCATCCATCATTTCTCAGTGGGGCCTGTGGTGACCTGTGCTGGCCCAGCTGGGAGCCAGCACCTCCTAGCCTGCTGCCATCTGCTGAGGTGGCCAGTCTCTGCTCCCATCCCAGGGTACGGAGAGCCCCTTGGCTCATGGCAGGTCCAGACGGGGAGGGACCTCGGGCTGTCCCAGGACCCTCTTGACCCTGACCCTGGTGCCACTGTCACACTTGTGAAGCTTGCTGCATTTCAGAGCCCCTTCAGGAAGAGATTTGTCACAGTAACAGTAGAAGAATCCTTGCATTGCTTACCATGAGCCGGGCCTCAGAACAACCCCATGAGACCGGCCTCCCACTATTGTGAATTTACAAATGACCAGACAGAGGCACCAAGGGGGTTAGCATCTTGCCCAGAGTTACAAAACTAATAATCAGCAGAGCAAGGACCGCACCCAGGGGCCAGGCACCAACATCTGTGCTCCAGTCCCCACCAATGTTCTTACAACAGCGTGCCAGTCAGGGCTTCTCGAACTGTGAGGTGCATAGGAATCACCTGGGGTCTGGTTAAATGAGCTTCTGATTCAGCAGGGTGGGGTGCAGCCCAAGATTTTACATTTCTTTTTTTTTTTTTTTTTTGAGAGAGCGAGAATGAGAGAGAGAGAGAGTACATGAGAGGGGGGAGGATTGGAGGGAGAAGCAGGCTCCTCGCTGAGCAGGGACCCTGATGCAGGACTTGATCCCGACTCCAGGATCATGACATGAGCCGGAAGCAGTCGCTTAACCAACTGAGCCACCCAGGCGCCCCAAGATTTTACATTTCTAACAAGTGCCCAGATCATCACCGGCATGACGGCACGCCGCCGCCCTGCACCACCCCTGAGTGGCAAATGTGGAGCATGAGTCTGCGTGCGCCAATCACGTGGGGAGCTATAAACCTTCTGATGAGGGAAAATCCGCCAGGCAAGTGCAGGTGAGCATTCAAGCTCAGGGGCGGCCACGGCCAGGGCTGAGTGACAGCCTGGCAGGTGGACGGACCTCCTCCCTCTCTGAGATTCACATGTAACTTGTCCAGAGTGCGACCTAATCATTAGACAATTTTTACTTCCTGGGTGAGTCTAATGTACAACAAAGTTTCAGGACCTCACTTTTAAAAAGACATTTGACAGGGGCACCTGGGTGGCTCAGTCGGTTAAGCGTCTGCCTTCGGCTCAGGTCATGATCCCAGGGTTCTGGGATCGAGCCCCACGTCGGGCTCCCTGCTCAGTGGGGAGTCTGCTTCTCCCTCTCCCTCTGCTCCTCCCCCCACTTGTGCTCTCTCTCTCTAATAAACAAATAAAATCTTTAAAAAAAGACTGTCAAAATCTATAAACATAATAATAAAGAAATAAAAAGACATTTAACAAATCAAGCCAACGCTAGACACAGTGGGTGCACAAGGAGGCTGAAGCCAACCCATCCTTGGGCCTTGGGAATCTCATTCCTCATGGAAACACCCAGCATTTTTCAAGAACTACGTCTTCACTTCATTTTCTCACTTGATGTTCACCTCAGCCCTGTGCTATGGATATTATTACTATTATTGCCATCCTCTTTCTAGAGGAGGAAGTGGAAGCTGAGCCAAGTTAAGGCCATGCTCTACAAACTTCTGTCATTCCCTGAGCCTTCGCTTTTCCCCTCATTGACCCTTCTCTTAAAGCCCTGCTGCCACCACAAACAATACTACCACCAGCACTCTGGGAAGGTTCTGGGGGAAACATCCCCTTCCTGCTGCTTTCCCCGCAGTCTGCACAGTTGGTGGGGGCAGTGGAGGGAGACCATCACTCCCTTCTGGGGTCACTGGTCCCTCTTCCACTTGGCCTAGTAGCCCGGTGGAGGCAGGGGTAAGAACAGAAATCCCTGGGGCCCCTGGGTGGCTCAGAGAGTTAAGCACCCGACTCTTGATTTTGGCTCAGGTCAGGATCTCAGAGTCCTGGGATTGAGCCCCATGCCTGGTCCATGCTCAGAGGGGAGCCTGCTTCTCCCTCTCCCTCTGCCCTTCTCCCTGCTCTCTCTCTCTCCCTCTCTCTCTCTCTCAAATAAATAAATAAATCTTTAAAAAATTTTTTAAAAAGACTAGAAATCCCTACAGTTGCCCTAGGTCAGGAGCTCAGCTCCAGGTAGAAAGGAGTGGAGGGCAGGAGGGGAGGGGTGAGCAGCCAGATGTGGTTTTTTTGTTGTTCGGCTGGTAAATCCTCTGCAAGCCTGGCCTCTATCTCCTGTTGAATCAGGCAGGACCGGGAGAGAGCATGGGACCTGAGCCCGTCCCAGGGGCCACATTCCGAGGATGACAATCCCCTCCACACGGTGTTTGTAGTCAGCAGTCACTCCCTCAAGGGAAACCAGGCTTCATGCAGATCCAGTCTCAAGAGCGTCCATTTCCTTTGAATCCTCCAGGCCCGAGAATCCATCCTTTACAAAGGCATCTAGAAAAGAGAAAAAGCTAAACGCAAGAAGGCGATTCATGAAAAAGCCTAGGCCACCCCGGGGTCCAGCTGAAGAGCACAGCTGTATCTTTAAACGTTGGACAAACCTCACTAATTGTGCTCAAGAAGATGAACCCAAAAACTGCCTGAGACGGAACACCGCGCGAGAAAAAAGGCAGAACACAAAATTGCTTTTGCCCTGGTGTGCCGACCACTGACAAAATGCAGACACAAAAAGACTGGAGATAATAATTCAAAATAAACAACAATGTGCATGAGTCACCCGGGGGCCTAGTCAAAATGCAGGGTTATATTTAATTACTTCAGTAACTCGATTTTCTGATAGGCGGTTTGATAATGAAAAATAAACTATGTGACATCGAAACTCAAGAAATACTTATGCCAAATGAAAATAGCAGAATACAAAATGCTATATAATTAATATTTATTGTTTTAAGTAAAACTTTTTTTTTTTTTTTTTTTTGCATTTCATGAGCACCTGCCCTGAGCATTAAGGAATGAGCCCCCAGTGGTACCATCCACCGAGTAAGCCAGTGTATCTAGCACCCCTGTCCTGAGCATATGATGCTGCCCATGAGGTCCAGAGGCAGCCAGCCAGAGGGACAGGGGAACTCATCTGTCAGGGGTGAGGGCACTTTCCAGAAGAAGGTGATACCCACCAGATTTTGAAAAGAACAGGAGCTCCCTGGACAGACCACGTGAAGAATTCCCACAATTCTTGAAAGGGGAGGGGGGCAATGAGCCCACAGCTCTTTCAGGGAGAGCCAAAGAGGTAGGGAGGGGAGCAGGGCCAGATCAGGAAAGATCCTATGTTCTACTAAAGAACTTGGCCTTGACCCTGAAGGTGGTGGGAAAGCCTGGCAACATTTTGAGCAGGATAAGGATGTGATCCCCCGTGGTTTAAAGTGGCTTCCGGTGTCAGTGCTGAGGCCTGGCCAGCCAGGGAAGGGACAGCTCCTGAGAAGTTACTGCAGCAGCCCAGGCGGGGGCTGTTACCTGCCTGAGTCTACAGGGAATGGACAGGGGTGGGCTGGCTGGAGAGTCACTGGGTTAGTTAGGACCTGGGGACTGATTAACTGGAGGTGATCCCAAGGAAGGAAGAAGCTAAGATCCTAAAGAGCCACAGGAGTAGGGACCACCAACCCAGAGATGGCAGCAGGAAATGAAGGGACTTTTTGGGAGGGTATGAAGTGGGGAGTGAGTTCTGGGTCTACAAACCCTCACCTGAAGCTCATAGGGCCAGATGTGTTTCAGAATTCAATATTTTCTGAGTTTAAGAAAGTAATACATAATTTAGTGTATATATGCACCATCATTCCCTTGGTGGGTCTGGGACAACAGCCCATGATCAAACACATTGACATTCCTGCAGCCAACACATGACTATTCATGCACACGAAGTGGTTATGTATAAAGACAATAAAAAAAGCTCCTGTCAGGGCCCGACCAAGGCTTGCCACCAAATGAGTTTGAGAAATCCTTTCAGTTTGGGGATCTACGGATTGAGGAGGAAGGAAGTTGCATCGGTATCTATGGTAGCTAGTGACCCAAGAGGGCCCTTCAGGAGAGAGGAGAACCGAGGACAGAGCCCTAGGAACAACCACGTGGGGATGGAGACAGGAGAGGAGACAGCAAAGGAGGCTGAGAGGGAGCAGCCAGATTTGTAGGAGACAAGTAGAAAGGGGGGACACCCTGGGGGGGGAGGAAGAGAACCGTGAGCAGGGACAGTGCCACAGAAAGGCCAAGTCAGAGAAGCCCCAAATGTTCCCTACATATGGCAAAGGTAGGTCACAGGAGCCCGGGACCAGTGGGATGTCAGTGGCAAGATGGCGGCGGCTGAGTGGGAGCAGAGGGTAGTGTAGCAGGAGTGGCATGGCTCCCCTTGCAGGAGTCTTGGCCACAGAAGAAATGAGATTGGGCACTGTAGCCAGACTGATGGGCAAGAAAACATGGTGGGGTGGGGCACCTGGGTGGCTCAGTCGTTAAGCGTCTGCCTTCGGCTCAGGTCATGATCCCAGGGTCCTGGGATGGAGCCCCGCA